TCACCACAGACTTGATGGTCATTATACTTTTTGGTTAGCCTGTGCTTGTAAAAGAAAAAGCCAGGTGATCAGAATAAAATTTCATGCAGTAGAAAAGAGAACTTCTGCAAAAAAGTCAATTTGGCCTGTTACCCCACATACACTCTTAATGCCCACCTTCCAATACCCACTGCCCCATTACTATGTATCCGTTGATAATTTCAACTCTGACATGAATTCATTCCAAGTTCTACTGCTACAGAAAACAGAAAGTTCTATGGATATATTTCAAGTGGACTTAATAGTTACTTGTTTCTGCAATTTTCCCAAAGAATAACAGCATAAATACTAAAAAAAAAAAGAAAAAACCTAAAGTTATTCCAGTCAGCAAAGTATTCCAAAATGTATATTTACTGTTCCCAAACAGAGGTCAGTTTATTTAATTACCAAGATCAAAGAGATACATTCTGCACCTACCTCATCCTGTTTGTTATCAAAAATTAACACACCTCGATGGGGATTAGTAACAGCACATTATAGCCACTGTGTATGGCTTGGTAAAATTTCCTTTACAAATTTACACGCTAAAACCACCTAATATTTTAACAAAGTATTGAACATTAATGGTTGGGTCAATTAACTCTTTTGTGAAAATGCTGATCTGCCTGAGGAAAAAGATTTTGGCTCTATTAACAGGTTCTCTTGGAGAATCACCTTCAACAGAAACAAGATACCAATTTTTCCAAGTAGGCATTTAAGTCAAGCTAGCATATACCATCTGCTGACTGGATTTCTAAAGATATGGATTTGCAGTTAATCAATGCAAGATTTCTAAAAAGGAGTATCATCTCAAAGTGTCTATTATGCAATTTTATCTAAAGCCCAGTGACATCACTGAAGGACATTATGATTGGCAAGCAGTCCACCTATTCTTCTGTATAGTCTAAGGTTTATCCTTGCAAAAAGTCATGAAAGAGCAAGATTCCTTCACCATTTTACCTAAACCAGGAGTCACATTGCTATCACTAAAAAGAACATTTGTTTCTGACCATGTGAATTCTCATGAAGGATCTGGCTCTTAAGAGACCCTGAATACATATCTATGGAAGAAAGGGAGGCGAAGTGCCAGAGAAATGGTTCTAGAAAAAAGATCCTCATGAAACTGATTCTTTCATTTGCTATTTATAAAAACACTGCTCAATATCACATTTTTCTTTTACAAAGATAAACACACAAACTTTCTTTTGAAGTTCAGCTAATTTATAGAAACCATTGCTTTAGCTCATGAAATTTCATGACTATGTTTCCACTTCACTTTGACCACTAGTAAGCCCAAATGTAGGAACCTCTGGTGGCACAGTGGTTAAATGCTCAACTACTAACCAAAAGGTCTGTGGTTAGAACTCAAAAGCTGCTCCAGTGGAGAAAAGGTGTGGCAGTCTGCTTCCATAAAGATTACATCCTTGGAAACCCTATGGGGCAATTCTCCTCAGTCTTATAAGATCCCTAAGTCAGAATTGACAACAACAGCAGGTTTGGTTTAGTTATTTAGCACAAACATATACATCTATTTAAATTTTTATCTACATCTTAATAATAGGTCCTAATTTAAGTTTATCTTACATCTAATACTTTTCTTTATCTATTTCTCATAGACCATATTGAATCTTTGGGATATAAGTAAGAAAATAAACTCTCTGTACTTTGGAGCTATTATGGTTAGCCAACCTGATTACAAAAATATACAAACATATACTATAGTTGCTGCAATTAAACTGTAATGTATATGGAGTACATGATGAACATACATATTTCTAAACAAAGCAAACTTAATAATTTAATATAAATTTCATGCATTTTTCATACTTGAGCTAAATTTATAAAGGGCATTTAAATGTAAAAATTCTAGACCTAGAATGTTAAGCTTCTTATAATTACCCTGCATGTTTTAACAGATTAAAATATTACTCTGTCTTTCTACTGTCAAATAAATATGGAATTGCTTATGTGAGGACTTATCATCAAACCAAACGCTTTATACTCAGTGTAAAATTCAATCACAATTGTCAAAGATCAAGCTGCTACTTCTGATAACAAACATGATGAGATATCATCGTGTTCAATATATACTTTCCACTTGACATGTAGTCTAATAAAAAATATGAAGTTGTAGTATTTATTTTGTTTCATGCACAATAGAAAGCTCCTAAGAGGGATGATCAAAATACCCAGTATCATTGCATGAAATACAGTTAATTCTTTATTATCTGGAAACAGATGAACTAGTTTACATTTTAACTGTAGTAAAACAATAACAATATGCATTGCATTTATTAAAGATTTCAAAATTACTATGTATAGGTGATTATATCTCCATATGAGAGAATGTCTATTTCTTTGCACCTACAAAATATTCAAGAGATGCTATACTGAACCTTTTAGAGCCTGTTTCCATTAATTCAACAGCAATTTATTATTTATTATGTACCATGTATAATCTATTAGGCTATACCTCTTCATAATCAGTTCTAGTCTCTTGTCCACAGCTCTCCACAGAAAAATGTATGAGGAGGGCATGAGGCAAACATTTTCTGAGTTGACAGTAATTGTGAGAAGCAAAATCTAAAGAATAAGGTAATTAGAACTAGAAAACAAACCACAGTGGATTTCTGGGTGTGAACTTAGCTTCAGCACCATTTTCCTTCCCCATCTTCTGTTTTCCTTTCTTTGCTGAAGACCCGAGCCTGGCACTTTTGCATGCCTCCTTCTCCTTCAGCTCCCACATTCATATTGAATTTGTACTTCCTTCCATCATCTCTACAATTCTACCTCAAACTCTTTTACTACTAACTTAGCTAGGCCCTCCATCATCTTAAGTAAAACTGTTACATGGTAAATAGGCAAATATTTGCTGAGTAATTAAATAGCTTCAACCAGATGCCTTCTAAGACAATGAGATAAACAAGGGAAGAGAAGCATCCTAAAACACCCTGAAAGCATTACCTTTTAAGCAACCACTTTAAATATATCAGCAGTGGCATTTCCCACCCATTCAGCTACAATGGAAACCAGAGTGCTATCTTTGACCCTTCTCCTTCACTGCCAATTCTGTCTTCCACACTAGCTCTACTTCCTATGTTATATTCCAAAATCAGGCACTACTTGTCAGCCAATTCCCTGAGTCTCCCCTTACCATAACCCTCTAATTCAGAACTGTCCAACAGAACTTTCTGAGATGAGGAAAATGATTTACATTTATGCTGTCCAATATTTATAGACATGAAGTACTTGAAAAGTATACTGAGAAATTGAATTTTTCATTGTCTTTAAATTTCAGATAATTAAAATATAAATAGCCACATGTAGCTGTAGTGACAGTTTTAGACAGCACATCTCTAACTTTTTTCCATACTGTTAGAAATATCTTCCTATAAGACATGTGATCACAACATTTGCCTTATAAAACTAACACATTTCCATAAAACCTACCTAATAAAGTATGGCATTCAAGGCTCTTTACAATGTAGACCAATTTACCATCCCAGCCCCATTTCCTCCCACTGACTGTACTCACACATGCTACATTATCACCTTTTATGCAAATTGTTGGTTCTTGCTTAGAATGTCTTTTCCTCTCAGGGAAAGCCTACTCATCTTTCACAATCCAGCTCAAAGTCTCATCTCCCTGAATACTTAATTACCCTCCCACAGCAGGGCCAATTTCTTTCTTTCTCTCTGTCAACTCTGCTGCCATAATTTTTCCTATATATTCTCATTACAACACTTAATCATAATGAATAGCTTATATGTGAAAAATATGAGTTCCCCTATGGCAGGTAAATATTAATCCCATTCATTAAATGGGATGATCAGGTAAAGCATTTGGCACAGAATTTCACCTGAGTAAGCACTCAGTAAATGTGCAAAGTCTTCAACATGTGTTTTAGAAACTACATTGCCCACATAAGGTCTCTGAACCTGAATTAGCAGGCTGAGAAACCAAGGAGAGGAAAACAGACAAACAGAGCTAGAGGGCAGGGAAAGCTAACAAGGCAGTGATGCCAATGGGAGGCTGAGGTCAGGGAAACTGTGTGCAAGAAATTTACAACAGCATTAAGAGAGTAACTTTTCAGCTACAGTTGAACTTGATTCTTGCCTTTCCTACATAACTGGCAACAGCAATAATCAAATTCCTTAATCAGAAAGTATAGATGTTACAAGGTCAAGAACAGGAGAAAGCTTTTCTTGTGATGTGTAACTAAGAAGAATTTGTTGTGAGCAGATCAATAAAGCACTATTACTATAGACCACTCCTCAGGAAAAGGCTTGTTATATAAAATATTGACTATGCTTGCTGTGAGGAAAATTTAACCCAATGGAAGTACCCAGGAGAAAAAAATTCTCTAAATTTACTCAGTTCCCGTATTTTTAAAAAACTGTATTTAGAGAGAAAAAAAATATTCAAATCATCAGTGACGCCTGGGATAAGGTTATTCCTGATATAATCATTTACCCTTTACAAAAAGCACTCTCATTTTCTCTTTTAATCAGCTTATTTAAAAAAAAAATGCAGAGAAATATTTAAATAGTTAAAGGAAAAAATTTCAGCAATAATCCTAAATCATACTTCTTCTATCTCTCTCTCCCCACACACACACACACACCACACATACGCACACCATCACAGGCAGGTACCTGAACTGAATGAATATTAGGTTTTAATAGTTAAATAATCTTTTGATGTTCCATATCATTGATTTGAGAAAGCATAGGTTTATGACATAATTTTGTTACTAAACAAAATATTTCATCTGGATTTGCAAATCAGAGAAAATTAATAATTGGATTTAGTTCAGAGGTTGAGTAAATTAGCTCAATTCACTCTAGGTTTAAGTTCCTGGTTCAGTTCAAGTTCTTGATAATGAGCATATCAAAACAAAAATATTTAAATATTGTAATAGGGACTGACATTTGAAAGTAAGTGTTCAGGTAAATATGTGTTTTAAAAAAAACAAACTCACTTTACAGAGAGAGCTAAGGTTAAATCCGAAGGTTTGAGCATTCCGGGAGCCAGCATTCAGGTAGTTTCCCATTAGCAATACAAGTTCCAGCAACTTGCTAAAGCTTTTGCTCTTCTTTATCTCTTCGCAGGCAGTACTGACAGCCATGATGTCAGGTTTGATGTTGTTCACCTGCTCTTCAAACTGAAGCTTAAAGAGAATAGCACTGAGCCGTGGCCGTAGTCTCTTCACATTGCTCATCTGATTGAAAAGAAAATAGCAGATTTCCTTTAAAATGCATGGTATACTTTAGTACAGTATGACTGCAAGTAATCTGGGATGATTTATTGGTATGACAGTACTAAAGAAGCAATATGTCCCCTGAACTGATAGCAGGAAGGGAGAAAAGCCCTGCTTGTTTTTATAAGGAATCAAGAGTCATACCTTAAAGAAAATAAATAAATAAATAACAATTCAGATGCTCAATAAAAGAAAGTATTAATTAAGTAAAAAGGCAAGTATAATAAAAAAAAAACTAAACTAAATTTTACAAAGATAATAAGATACACAAATGACAAAATACAAATCATATCATTACTTGAAATAATCTTACTTGAATACTAGCATATATGTTGGATCATGTTTAAAACATATTCAGAAAGGTCTAAAAAGGGTTTATTTTCTTCAAATAGCAATTGCCATCCTCCGAAACCCTGCTGCCTAACAGTATGTGTTAGAGGGAAAGTAAATAGGTCCCAATTTGTACTAAATTGACTTTCTTCAGAAACACAGGAAAGTGGAATCACTCCTGACACATACTAAATTAGCAGAGTCAGAGTTTGGAAACATGGGAATAACAGGAGATAGAAGCAGTACAAAGCCACAGTTCTATCACATGCCAAGTTAACCCTGTTTAGGATTCCTGGTATCCCTGTTGGAAATGTGTGGGATTGAAGGTGTCAAAAAGAACAAAGGAGCTAGATGGGCAGCAAGTCCCTGTCTTTAAGCTCACTTCCCAGTGGACTATCAACACAAGTTGGGGGGTGGGGCAGAGGAGGAGGGACAGCCACTTAACTGAAGGCTGGCAACATAAAGCCTTTAAGCTGTGTATAAATTCTTGACCAAATGCATTAGGGACTTGAGACCTAAAACATATTGATGCAGCTGAGAGCTCCTGCAGTATCAGCTAGATTGTTGAAATACAATAACTATTTTAAATATCAAAAGTAGTTTGAGGCAAGGTCAGGAAAAAAAAAAAAAAAAACAGTGACAGAACATAATAAAGTTAAAGTAGGAATTAATTGTATTAGTCACAGACCCTATAGGAAAGGGTAGAAATAATAATGCATGAAGACTATAGGATGCTCAATACAATAAAAAACATGATTATTATGAAGAAGGAAAGCTACTTGCTCATAAGATAATAATGATTGCCATTTAAAATAAAAGATACCACACACAAGCTTAAATCTTACTAGAATCCAATATCATAATATGGACACTGCTTTAATGACTTAAAGCTTTAATGACTTAACAATAAAACCCTATTCATCTACTAGGAGCTCTGGTAGCATAGTGCCTAAGGCACTTGCCTGCTAACCAGAAGGCTGGCAGTTCAAACCCACCAGCCACTCCTCGGAAGGAAGGTTGGGCAATCTACTTCCATAGTGATACTGCTTTGGAAGCCGAAGGAGGGGTTGCTAAGAGTCGGGTCCGACTCGACAGCACATAACAACACAACAACAACATTCATCTACTAACAAAACTGACCAGTAAAGGATTAGCCTCCAGTGTGTATTTCTGAGGTGCCCTGGTGGCACAATGGTTAAAGCACTCATCAGCCAAACAAAAGGTTCATGGTTTGAACCCACCAGCCAATCCAAGGGAGAAAGATGTTGCAGTCTGCTTCTGTAAAGATTTACAGCCTTGGGAAACCCTATGGGGCAGTTCCACTCTAGCCTACAAATGCTACAAAGTAGGATTAAGCAGTGATTACTTCTGACAAAGTAATCTGATTTGTGCTAAAATACATTATAAGGCCCAAATGGATTCACTTCTCAGGAATTTCCATCTTAAACATTACAAATGATAGATTTCCTATTACATTGTACTAATTCTGCATAACGTTTTATCATACTTAAGATATCCCTCAAAATTGTGAGAATACAAAAGAGCATGCATAAAGTACATTAGTTACAGCCATATCAGAAGGTGCATGATGGGCCCGTAACAACTGTTTTCATTCTGTGCCCTGACTCATGATTATGAAATCAGGTATTTGGCACTTTGAAATTACTATGAGAAGAAATTATCCAGTCTCCCATGCAAAACATTAATATTTGAAAATATATTAATTATAACATATATTAATGTACTACTTTGTGCACAAGAGAAAAAAAGACTGCTTAAATGCTTACATTATACCACCCCAAAATATGTTAAAGCTTTCCTGCTGACAAGCTAACCATATGCAGCCAACACAAAGTAATTAATTTTCATAGAAAAATATAACCTAGATTTGTATGAGTAATGAGTCTATCTGGCACTAGGGACAGGTACCTTGAAAACAGAGGAAGTCTATGATGTAATGGGGAACAAAGTGGTATGAGTTCAAGAAAAACCCTGACAAAGCAAAGTCAGGAATGATAATCTGAAAAACAGATCTCTGAACAACATTTTCTTTGTTGGATGTCTTTTTCACATGGTTCTCTGAAATTGAGATAAATCAGTATTTTGACTATTATAAAATAAATGTATTTCAGTAAACAAAATTACTGAGCTAACTCCTCTCTGTACTTCACTATTTAGCATTCCCCTAAGCCAAAAGTTGCCATTTTTATTTAAGAAAACAAAAAACAAACTCACTGTTGTTGAGTTGGTTCCGACTCATAGTGACCCCTCCTTGGGTTTCTGATGAGGTATCTCTAAGGAAGTAGATTGCCCCGTCTTCCTTCCTTCTGGTTAGTAGTCAAATGCCTTAGGCACTACGCCACCAGAAAAAGTCTAAATTGTAGCTAATATTCAAAAGCCCTGTATTTTGGGAACTATAATGATAATGGCATATATGTGTGTGTGTGTGTGTGTGTGTGTATAGTAAATGAAAGTTTGTTTCTTCTGATGAGATCAATCAAAGGGAAAAAGTAAGTAAGTATCAAAAAATAAATGAAGCATATTTCCTCATTGTCACCATTTCACATGTCCTTTCAGCATGAGGGATTTTCATGCTCACATGCTAAGAAACCTAGAGCTCTGTCATGGCTGCCAAAGACTAAACTAAATGAAGACTTTTCAAGCCATGGTGCTCAAATAATTTTCTAAATGGCAAGAGAAAGTCATTTTTAAAAAAAAGAAGAAAGGAAGGGTTACAGTAAAAGTAACTATAAATAGTTAATAATTTACTGGTAAAGAATCTTGGTAATATAAGCCACAGCACCAAAATCTATGATGATATTGATTTATAAGCTGAGCACTTACCTCAAGGCATAAAAAAGAAAGCAACAGTACTTTGATTTCATTCTATTTCTTGAAGGCAGGGAGCTCATAGTACTCCTACAAGCTCCCTACCCTGCCACTCATCTATGGTACATGCCAGAATGAAGAAACCTTGAAAGAAGTAACTGGAAAAAAAACAATCAGGAAGCAATATCCAGATCCCTAAGGATAATTTTTATTTCAAAATTTTGTTTTTTGGCACCACATGTATTGTTGGAGCAGAGACAGAGTAAAATGAAAAGACCTTTAGAAAATCAGTGAACCAACAAGTATTGACTGGGTGCCCACTCAGAGCTGTGAGAGGCACAGAAGTCATGGCTGCTGCCCTGGCAGCACAGATCATCTGATACCTTCCATCTGTCATAAAGGTAAAAAGTAGAAAATGTCCCCAAGGAGGTACCATCTCCATAATCTCATTATGATTATGTTTTCCATATATAATTTTAATTTTACCCATTTTAAGGGTGGGGGAGCAGAATGAATTTGACATTTTTTACAGTGATTATTTTTAACACCATATTTAGTTGTCTTAATGAAGTTTCTTTTATAAATAAGAGATTTTCAGCGACCAACTTTTTCAAAACCTGTTGTTTTTTTTCCCTCCCTTTTTCATGGGCATACTTATGTAAGTTCACTTCAAAAGAAATTTTAGTACACACTCCATATCTTTGTTAGTTTTCCCCAAAGTCATTATAAAACCATTGAACCACTGATTTGGAAAGCTTCAATACACTGTAATAACCTAGTGATTGAAAATCTACCACTTTCAGTCTTAATTGACACTAATCTTTCTGCTACTCTAAATCTTTAGTTCATACACTTGTAAATTCATAAGTATAAGGAATAATGGGACAGAGTTTTAGGAGGGTTAAAGGACTCCTTCCTTCAAGGTCACATGGCTGGTAAGATCTGGGCCTCAAGCTAACTTGCTGCTAATTAAGTGCTCTTACCATTCAAGAAAGAAGTGCAGCCAGAATGCTCCTTGGAAGTGAGAATGGCCAATTCTCGTCTTACATACTTTGGTCATGTTGTCAGAAGGGACCATTCTCTAGAGAAGGATGTCATGCTTGGTAAAGTGTAGGGGCAACGAAAAAGGCGAAGGCCCTCAACAAGATGGACTGACACAGTGGCTGCAACGATGGGCTCAGGTGTAGTAGGGATGGTGAGGCTGACACAGGACTGGGTAGTGTTTCGTTCTGTTGCACACAGGGTTGCTATGAGTCAGAGATGACTCGACGGCACATAACAAGACAAACCATTCAAGAGTATCACAATATGGACATTAATAAACTCAATTTAAAAGCTACATGGAATTCAAAACTTCCTCTATTATGCTATCCTATACTACACTCTCCTATCAGTACAAATAGCCTTTAATTTTCCCTCAGTAGCTATTTGATGGAGTCTCTGGCTAGTGCAAAAGGTTAAGTGCTAGACTACTAACTAAAAGGCTGACTTCCTTGAACCCACCCAGACGAGTCTTGGAAGAAAGGCCTGGAGATGTGCTTCCAAAAGGTCACAGCTGTGATAACGTTTTGGCGCAGTTCTACTCTACAACACAGGGGTCACCAGGAGTTAAAATCAACATAACTGCAACTTTTTCTTTTCGAAGCTATTAAATTATGGAGAAAGATCTTGCTGTGAGCTCTACTTGCTGCTATCTCAGTATTTCTTTCCTTTCTCCTTAGCATTTCCAACTACATGCTATTGTGCTGAATTTGTAATACTTTTCAAGATGCACTTCTTTTGTCCTCTCCACACTGCATTCT